TATGTGTATTGTAAATTACGTTACAATAAGATAGATTGTAATAAAGTATTTATTGAAACCCGGTGAATGTGTAAAGTTTAGCATAGAACACATTATCTAAATGATAATGCCATAAAGTATTTATAACATAATAAAAGAATCAATAAAAGAATCAATCAAAGAATCAAAAAAGACCATAAAAGCCATATAAATTATATTCCCCTGCGAGGACCATTATCATAACATAACAAAACATATTACACTGAGAAAAATATTAGTTTTTAAAATAACTGACTGGAGGCACACATATTATACGATCGATATTGGTTTCTCACACTGTTCAACATTCTATTTATTGTATACCTCTAGAGGGCAGTATGCTAATCCTGAGGGCACTATTTACACAGTTGACTTACTTGTCTGTCGTTCACCGTAACTTATAGCTTCTGCAAGTGGAGTCCATCCCTGAGCGTTTTTGACTTTGACCGGTGCACCGTGAGCCAGCAGAAGATGTACACATTCTGTATGATAAAAATTAAAAAATTACATTAAAAATCACTGTTTTTGTTTTTAGTATCTGACTGTGTAAAAATTTTTGTGATCAGTGAGGTCTTCAGTGGATTCATCACTACGGTTACATGTCTGTATCTCTTATACCTGTCGTATATTCTATGTATGGATTGCTTAAAGTGACAGTCATATTGCAGCACATGTTTTCATGTAAATAAACAAAACATAACACACGTTGTATATGTCACAATGGGCAACGTGAAATCCATATCGCTTTATTCAAATGAGTGCAATCTTACAACAATGTAAAATTGTTGATGGTCTTACGGTCACATGTAGAAGAAAGAAGAAAGAATTAATACTGCTTTATAAGCTTTTAAGAATTCACCCATGATTATTACCCTGTATACATTCAATTAGAAGCGTATTTGATATGTAACTTTTGCAGTTCCTATTTGTGTTACAAATTACAAAAATATTCACCAAAATTAGAGAATTAAAGATATCATTACAAAATGAACAAATCTGAGAGAGGTCCACATGTAGTACCTATATATGTAATATCAAAGCAATTGGACTAGCGGTTTTCAACAAAAAGTTGAAAATATCACTTTTTACCAAAAATGACAAAAATATTCACCAAAATTAGAGAATTAAAGATATCATTACAAAATGAACAAATCTGAGAGAGGTCCACATGTAGTACCTATATATGTAATATCAAAGCAATTGGACTTGCGGTTTTCAACAAAAAGTTGAATATATCACTTTTTACCAAAAATGACAAAAATATTCACCAAAATTAGAGAATTGAAGATACCATCATGAAATGAACAAATCTAAGAGAGGTCTACCCAAGGTACATATACACCAAGTATCAAAGCATTCAGGCTTGTAGTTTTCAAGAAGAAGTCGAAAAAGCTCCACTCCACAAAGTCGACAGCAGAGCTAAAAAAGTGCAGAGAAATTTGGGCGATAAAGTCTGGTCTTGAAAAGGTTAAGATGTAACACATACAACTAATAGGATAACATTTTGAAATATGGTGTAGATATCAAAGAATATACATGTATCAAGTTTGGACCACACACAGACACACTGACAAGCAGACACACAGACAAGCAGACACACAGACTTACAGACATGCAGACACACAGACATGTTGACACATAGACATGCAGACACGTAGACATGTTGACACACAGACATGCAGAAATATGAAAGATGATCCCACTGTTCCATTTTCATGCCATTCTTCCATTTAATTCACAGGCGAGGCAATAAAATTCAAATTCTCCTTGAACATACGACAGCAATAAATGTGCATAATATATTATAGTACGCGAGATTTGGTAATCGGCCTAAAGTAACTACTTAGTATTCATACTAGCCAGACAGTAGTGAGTATATGAAAATGAAAATTGCACCTTTTCAAGAAGATCACAAAATGTCTAGCTACATGTACATTTTTTTTGAATACACAAGTAGTTCAACTCTTTGAGTGCCAGATATTGCTCCCGCAAAAAATTCAGCAGAAATATTTTCACATTTTGCAAAATTTTCATCATGATTCAGGATCAACACAGACAATTTCACATATTGCTTTCAGTTTTTGATCAAAAAAAGGTTTGTCAATTTTTATCAACATTTCATGTGGCACACTATCAAAATAATTTTTTAGATGGTGACAAAAGTTGACAATTGGGCTCAAAGTGTTAAATAAATACTGTGAACAAGATTACTAAATACTGCCCTCTATATTTCATATTTATTAGTGCTTAACTGGATAGAAAATTTTGTAAATTCCAATTACCTCAGTAAAATTTAAATTTTTTGTTCAATACCTCTAAATTTAACCTTAAACCACAGAAATATGACAAAAAGGTCAATCAAAACTTGATCTATCAGGTAAATTTTGAGAAACAAGAATACTAGGGAGTACACTCAAATATGGTAATTAGCACCCCCCATGCACACACAGTGTGAAGTACACTATTATTCTCAATCATTCATGAAATCGTGTCACAACGAAGAAAAACTTCACAATCATTCCCCTATTTATCATGTACATTTATACTCGCATTAATACACATGAAGCAAGTAATTTAGATATCATAACACCCAAAATGACATCCACATCATTTTACACATGTAGCAATCAATAAAATCACCGAAAAGTGACGATAATATAATATAACGATCCCACACACTATAAAACAACTATATTTAAACAAATTAAATTATTTGCATTTCAAAGTTCACATTTCAAAAAACGCCATTTTAATGATTACGTATCAATTGATCTAATTTTATTTGCTTGACACTTTTACGACACGACTACAAAGACCGTCATTCGTGTTAATCTAGTACGTAGTATTTTGACAATCAGTCGTGATTCTTGAATAGATATGGCTGCCCTCTAGGTTATTAATAATCCCCATGGTGACAATAGACACAGTCACCAAAGAGAGGCAACTTCAACCTCCATTGTAACCTTTGGCAATTCTGGAAATAAAAAATGTTCACAGTTTGATCTTGTGACAGATAACTTTTCAAGAAAGACACTGAATTCAGTGTCAAAAGTAACCCTGGGGCTAGTCACTGCTGAAAATTGTTTAATTATCACAGAGTTTCGTCATCAAATGGTTTTGTAAGTTTGGCTTTTGCTGCTAATGTCAGTTAGTGAAGGCATTTGTGAAAACATGCGTTTCAAGGGGGTACAAAATTTTGTATTTAAAATTTTAGTTTTAATTTTCAATTATTTTACATAATTTCCAACTAATAATAGGTTTTGACTAAAATTTAAAAAAAAAAAAAAAGATGCTATTTCACTTTAATGAAAAGTGACAGAACTTTGACTTTGATTAGAATTGTCACATCAGACGGTTGTCTCATGGGGCAGAGAAGTGACAATAATGGGATATGCTTAAGTCAGGTATGCAAGTACGGCAGGATATTAAGCTTTCTATCTGTCACAATATTTAATTACAAGAAAAGACGTTTTCACAATCCTTTCGTCATTACTATTATTAATCTTCTGCAACCTTGGACGGAGATAAAATAAGTTAAATCTCAATCAAAACTTCAGTTGCTTATCCTTAGTTTATTGGAAAATAATTCTACAACACAATTCTTATCACCATAGTAAAACAGAAAACTTGTTAAAAACGATAGTAGAGTGTCAACTTTTGTTACCTATGAACAATTAAAACTCATGTTTTTCATAACATACTTTTTTTTAAAAATTTTGATCAAAACCTGAATATTGATATAAAAAATATTATCCAAAAAAATAGAGACAAGTACATAAAAATAGATAAAATGGTACACTAAAATGATGCCGGAAAAACGCACTTTGAAATAATTTTGTTCATACATTGTCGGCCAATGCCATTTAGCAATTGAAACAACACAGTGGTATGGTCAGAAAATATTTGAGAAGCAAATGTCTAAATTCTCCTGAAAAATGACAAAATTATTTAAGTTTTGTATTGTTTTTTATGATAAAAATATTTTATTTTACAAATGTATCTACAAAATATGCTCAGTGACATACCATAAGAATCTGCTGTATTTCAATATAGCGAGTTTCCAATAATATAAAAAAAAATTCTTTAAATTCAACCAAAATTTATTTTCAACATACCACACAAATTTAACCTAAATTAACAACAGATTGAGATAATATCAAGTACATTAAATATATAGATACAATCAAATAATGATTTGGTCAATAATTTAAATATAAAAATAATACTTTGAAAAGCAACAGATGTTTTTAATTCAAGTTAAATGATGATTTAACAGATTATGAGCCAATATGATAAAGTAAGAATCTATCACCTGTCGTCTATGACGTGTAAATGAAATTCTACTGGTACTTTAATGTAACCGAAAAAAAAATAGGTCTCCGTACTCTTGATACAAAGTATTTGATAGCTATTATATGATTTGCCATACTGACATCCAAATATTTATCAAAATGGGCGGTGACAGGATATGAATGTTCCCAAAGTCTACAATTGTGTTTTCACACAGTACCAGTTTTTATTTTTTTTTGTTTAACCTGAGCAGTTTTATTAATTGAGACATAGAGAGTCGTACCAAGCACTGACAAAAATGTATGGAATAAGATAAGGGTATGACCAACTATAACCACCCTCACCCGTCCCGTCTCGTTTGCTATCACTATCATCTCCAACAACATGTATACCTCGGCGTCACATTCCATCCCCACTATTATTTTCTTGACTGAGAAAAAGAATGAAGCAGCGGAGCGGGGGGGGGGGGGGTATACTAGATTGTATTTTAACATAACCGACATTTTGTAAATATTTTATGAGCAGAATAGAAGTCAGTAGATCTCAGGAAGCAGTCATTACAGAAACAACATAAATGTTTGCACAAATAACATTTAATTACTCTTTACCTAAAAAGGTCATATTGGGGTCGTGTCAATCATAAACACAGCAAGCATTGTTCGTTATCACGGAGCGTAGATTACGATATATTCATAGGCGCTTGGCGTTATATTTCTTGACATACATTTTGATTTTGATATGCCCAGGAGGGACAATACACTGTATCTTGAAACTTACCATGATATTATATTTTGTAATATCACTCTCATACATTATTAAATATAATCTGAATTAGTATTATAGTATATTCCCCCTTTTCCCCCAATCAACTATATATAAGAATATATTTTTAAAATTGTATCTTTTCATTACATTCTATTTTGTTAAAACTGAGAGTATTATAAATTCTTGATATTTTGATGATTGCAAAAGTCTCAACAATAAATGAGAAAGACAAATAAAGAAAGGGTACCAAAATGTGTTTCCATGGAAACAATGACTTTGCAATTTATCCCACATCTATATTATTTTGTCTGGCACCCAGTTAAATCAAAGAAAGCTTAGAAAGAAAACCCCCGTGTGCTGAGAGTATTGGAGACACATGAAAATTAATTCAAAATTTGAGATTTGCATTTCAAACTAGAAGCTTAGC